CCCCCCCCCCCCCACTTCTTTTCTAAATGTTACTTAGCATATAGAATTAATGTGCTTTGGATAATAACAACTCTCACACAAAGGTACTTTGTGGACCTATGAAAATCGTAGCTATAAAAAGCATAATTTTTGTAATACTGGGCCATGGGGTAACTTCCTTACTCCAGGTAAATTAACCAATGAGCTCGTTTGAAAATTAATAGCAATTTCTTGGAATGCAATTTAGCAGTTCACCATTTGTAACTTTCAACTGGTCAATCACTGCATTTTAAGAATGAATAACAAAATTGTCAAATGTGTTAAAATACATTAAGACTGCTTTTAAAGAGAATGAGAGGGTCCTTACTTGTGATCCATTAGTTTGGTTGATAACAGCGTTGTTTGCAATACTGAAAGACAGAAAGAATTTACATCAGAATCAGATCAAAAAACTATTTTTGCAGCCTGGCAGAACTGCAAGGATTTTCAGGAGAAAACACAAAGTCTAACAAAGATCTTTCCAAAGTACTTAACTGTTCTCAAAAGAAAACTTAAAATCTTGTGTTTTAGGTCAGCTGCCTCACTCTACATAACTAAGGCTATCACGTTATTTTTTATTTATTCAAGCTGTAGTTTATCTGTAATTCATCTGGTTTTTCCTCTTCCTTTCCCAAACCAGTTTGGTTTAGAAACTCTGCCTGATTCAGAAGTAAGGTGGGGCGCTTTTAAAGTAAAAATGATATAGTTTTAGTTTAACACCCAGCAAACTGTGACATTGTCAAAATCTCACCTATGTGCTGTAGGTACTATGTTTGTTCCATAACTAGGACTCTTCTAATTTGAAGTTTCATGAAGTTTATCAGAAAAATTCATGAGCTTCTTTCTGCACACAGCCTCTAATGGACTAAATTACTGCTTCAGAGTCTTAAAAGCAGCCATTCAAAATTATAAGCACTGCAGCTCAGCACAGCATTAATAATAATTTTATATTAATAAATATTTATTTTTTTAATAAATTAAATAAGACCCATATCCCTATCTCTGATGACTTCTGAATCAGCAAGAACCATTTCACATTTTTGAGAGACTTAAAAGCACAACGATTACACATTATAAATGTCATGCAAAGCAAACTTTTTTCCTAGACTTCCAATCTTCAAAAAAAATGGTTCCCATCTCCAACAACCCATTAATCTTTTGTTTTACAGTCTGGACAACAGCTAGACAACTTGGCAAGCTGACAATTCAAACAGATTTCTCTATCTACTTCAGCGATTCTTCATAATTATTTTACTTAAATATCATTATGTCGGGACCAAACAAGCCGTTTCTTGCCTACTTCCCATCTTCGCACCTTCTCTGTTGAGAGAACGTGGGGGTTACCACAGAAAAGAGCACCTTTAACAGAAATATTAAGGCATGCCTTCTGGGTCGTGCATTCCCCTGTGCTGAGTTAACACAAAAGGATGGAACAACATACATCTTTCATGATGCATTTCAATTAGCAGGGCTCCAGTGTAGAGTTTCAGGAACAGCATGGCTTGCTCTGGAGCCTACCACCCCAGTGCCGCACCCGGGCGTGGATCAGGAGGCCACTGCCTTATCAGAAGGAGAAACTGCCGATGAAGTTTCTCTTCCCACTCTCAGAATGACCTCAGCAGCACGAAACTCGGCGAAGGGCATGACAACACGGCATGACGAGAGTGCTAATTAACCAGACTGACACTTTTTGCACGCAGAGGCTCTTTAAGCACTTTAACGGCAGCCGGTGTTGAAGAATACTTTCCCATTTCATAAAAAGAAAAGAGGACAGAAGACAGAGGGGCCTCCACTGAAGTAATTGCAGCCTTGTCCCCACATTTCCTAGACTTCTCCCCCTCTCGTGCAAGAATCATGCAAGAATTCTTAACAGCAAGTATGAATCTACACATGCAGAAAGACTCTAGGTATAGAAATAAAGAACCAAAAGGCCCTCCTCTTGATTTTGGTCATGAATAATTTAGTATAAATATAGAAAAATTAATACTTATATATATAAAAACAATATGCAAGCATAGTACAGAATACAAAATCATCAAAATACTTCAAACATCTTTTTTACCGTATTTTGTCTGTCTCTGAACTTCAAGTGATTACGTATTTCAGTCACATGGCAAGAGCAGGCAGATCTCAGACCGAAGAGATCCTCACCTGCTTTTACCCGGTCTCTTTCCATGGCAGCACACAGAACAGCAGCTCGTATCCAGCAAGAATCACAGTTAGTCATAAACAAAACACCTTTGCCTGCCCGGAAACCAGTCTGGCAAAATCTACAGTGTGACAGCAACACAGGAGCTTCGCTCTCAACAGTAGGTTTTACGTAAAACAAACAGATAAAACCCACAGCAAAACCATAGTTAAAAGGTTGACGTGCTCTACATTTAACTAAACTTATAACCCCCTTCTGCAGACACGTGCTCAAGTACAGGTGGCAAACATCAAAGAGAAATTTAAATACTGGAATGCATCTTACCTCGTTTCTTCAAGTTTAGGGGAATGTGCTGCAAAAATAGAAAGTGTTAATTAAAAATAATTTTGTAATTAGGTTGTCACTAAATATTAAACATACAGTTAATAAAAATAGTTTAGCACTGCCTGAAAGTAGGCAACTAAAAGAGCAGAAGTTGCACGTATCCCATGTACATGTGAAAAATAAAATTCTAAATTGGAAAAATAAAATAAAAAAAAATTTGAAGAGAAAATCCAAGAGTTGGATTTAAGCAAATATCTGAAAGCATGCAGGGGGGTCACACTTGACCTATGCAAGAGTGGGAATAAGAGACAAGCTGAATATCACATGCTGTTGGGTTATAAACAACAGAGTGGAACTCCTAAGAACAATGGAAAAAATCTCAGTGACAAAAATTTCAAACATTATCATTAATATAATGCTGTTTCCTGGATCCAAGTTTTCCATCTGCATACAGAGACCTACTGTGCAATATTTATGGGTGTTTCACCTGCTAGGCAAGCTTTTTCTGATAAATATACATGGTCTCCCAAATAAGTCAAATAAAACCTAATTTTGAAAATTCAAGAGGGAGCCAAACAGCTACAGAAGAATTCTTACACAGCACCTTTAAAGGATATGATTACTTGATTCTCACAGTGGATTATGCTTCTCAAAATGGAAGGCAAATAGTTTACCTTTCATTTGTAGTGTTCGTCTTGAGTATCTCTTGCTGGGCCTCCTTTCAAAGGATGCTGATCTCCTGGCTTTGTTGGTCTTAGTGGTTTGATACTCTGTTTTCCCACTAACAATGCCATGTAAAAGTACAAAATAATAAAATAAATCACTTTTAATGACAAAATACTGACACTGCTCATCAAAACATCACATTTCTATTTTAAATTCACAGTTTAATAACCTGATCTCAGTTCTGTTAAAAAAATCCCAAGCTTAACGATTCAGAAGGTCTTTTGCAAAAAACGAATGGAGTTTCACAAACATCCTAATCTTCACCCCATTTTTCCAAGACAAAAAACTGAAGCTTAAACGTTAAGTTGCTGAAAAAGCACATTTGCCCTTGGTGTATTTCTGTGGTCATGATGTTTGGGAGAAGTTGAAAATTCTAGCAGAAAGTCAAGCTTAAGGTATGTTGCCAAAGGTCACTGAGAAAGATGGTAAACAGTTTTCTGTTTACCTTCCTCTGCAGTTTCCTACTGCAGAGACCAGAATTGCCTAAAGATAAATCAGAAAATGCAGGGGGAAAATACATACCATTTAATAAAACCAACAATGCAACTCGCTCAGCTTGCAAGTTACACTGCTCTATATGTCCTAGGTGAATGAATACCAAGTTCTCTCCTGTTTCCACACATTAAGAAATGCCAGAAGACCCACGCTAAATGACAGATGCCACTGACCTGTACCGGAAGCGGGACCCTAACCGAATGAAGCCTGAGCGACTTGAGCTTTTCTGGACAGGACCCCGGAGCCGGAAGAAGGCGTGATGTTCCACCGCACACTTCCACAAGTGTTTGCAGGCTTTGGGATGATCCAGTCTAAAGACAAAAGTGTGCTCCTGCTCCTTTCCCTTAAAAGCACACAAAGCACATGGGTGATTTATAAGGGGCTTGAATAAGTCAAGGCTACAATTCAATGCAAGGAAATAAAATTTGTTTTTTATGAACACTGAAATGTATGTTTAAAAAAAAAAAATTGAGGCAGAAAAACCAACCTTTTCAGAAGCTTTAATGAACAACCAAATAAAATTTGTTTTTTATGAATACTGAAATGTATGTTTAGAAAAAAAAAATTGAGGCAGAAAAACCAACCTTTTCAGAAGCTTTAATGAACAACTGCTCCATTGTCTGAAGCTGAAAAGGGCTACAAGCCCACACACTTAACAAGTCAAACCTCTGAATAACTACAAATTAAAGACATCACTCTAACAGGAAGGTACTTCTCAATGAGGCCAACTTGGTCTTGCTTCCAAACCTGATTTCCTCAAACTGTAAAAATATGTGAGCACTGGTAATATCAGCTCCGAGATTTCTTCCCATGGGAAGAAATCTGGCACCTGCTTAAGGAACTAACTCCACTAAATGTGCTACCTGATCTTTTTTTAAACTTTCTTGCAAAACAAGCACACTGTTTCCAAATTATCTGGCCTAGACTAGTTTCACAAGGTATTCCCCTTTTAAAAACAGGGGTAGAAAAAGTAGTAATTGAGCCTATTTATCTTACACCTAAGTCCCTTCATTCCCCATCTCCCCCAAAGTTCCAATCAAAAATCTCGCAAGGCATCCACATTAGTTCTCAAAACCTAAATATAAAAAAAAAGATCTGGTGTATCTAGTACTGTATAATCAAGACCGAGATGTAACTAAACAGATAGTTATCTACCTGTTCATCATCTTCAACAACAACCAGAGTGAGTTTGTTCTTCTTGAAGTCAAGTCTTGTTATCTTTGGCCTGCAAGATGCACAGAAAAAGGAGGTTACATCATAATAACTCTCTGAGTAACTCATGTGAGATCTATGTTCAACATGCTGGTCCAAACCTCTCTACTGAGCATTTTTCTGGTTTTTGTGGGTGTTTTAAGTTCATACAGTAGGGCTTGATTATATTGCGGGTACCAATGTATTACTTCAAAATTTAACACATTCTCAAAACTTAAATATAAAAAAAAGATCTGATGTATGTAATCTAGTACTGCATAATCAAGACCGAGATGTAACTGAACAGTTAGTTATCTACCTGTTCATCATCTTCAACAACAACCAGAGTGAGTTTGTTCTTCTTGAAGTCAAGTCTTGTTATCTTTGGCCTGCAAGATGCACAGAAAAAGGAGGTTACATCATAATAACTCTCTGAGTAACTCATGTGAGATCTATGTTCGACATGCTGGTCCCAGCCTCTCTACTGAGCATTTTTCTGTTTTTTGTGGGTGTTTTAAGTTCGTGCAGTAGGGCTTGATTCTACTCCAGGTACCAATGTATTACTTCAAAATTTAACACTTAATTAGAAACCTCAGAGATAAGAGGTCAGCAACTTCTAAAGAGATAATTCAATCAGAACTTAATAATTACTTAAACTGAAATCAAACTCCACCCGAATACTCCTGCTCGCCTACCCTTCCACAAGCCCGCAAAACTCAGAAAGACACAAAGACAGGCTAAATTAATTCTGCTTTGTTAAAGAAATGTAGATCACTGTATAGTATATCACAGATCAATTCCTATGATGACTCTGTTTCAGAAAATCCCAGCCAAAGAGAACACCACAAACATGACATGACACGAAAATGCAACTACTTTCCCCCACCAGCCCGACAAAAAAATACCCAGAATTGATGGCAGAGGGACTTGACACACGGATAACATTTCTGCTACAAAGTGAGTGTTTTTCTGAGAAGTTTATAAAATTGAACTGGGCTAACCCAAACATAACTATTCACGTGATGAAATTGCACCTCATCATCTGCCTACTCCTCCTTTGTATACCGTTTTGAAAGACTCCATGGGAATTACAGAATAAAGCACTGAAAAAAATCCATAAACGCCTGTGTACCCAGACCTTAAAACACCTTGTGTTACCATGTTTACACCGTATAAAACACCTTGTGTTTTATACGGTGTAAAGCCCTGCAAAATTTCACCAGAATACTTCCAAGAAACATTGGGGGTTATTCAGCTATTTGACAGATAAAGAAGCACATGTTCCTAAAAACTAAAGGAAGCTCTATATCCTCTGACTTTATATAGATCTTTTCTGGAGCAGGATATTTGGGTGATTTTGTTTGTTTGTTTTTAATTAGTCCTTACTGATGGGTAGAAAGGCACATTTCTGCCCTTTACTGGGCACAGAGAGACATTTTCTTAATGAAAAGCCTGCCCCAGATGACATTACATGTGAAATCTGCACTAGTGCTATTGCTTCTGACTCTTTTTCAACAGTGTAACATTTGGCTGTAATGCCTGAAAAAGCTTCATTTCACTGACTGGGTGCATACTCTATTTCCAAAGCAATCTAGTGCAAAATACAACAAACACACAATAAAAAATATGAAAACATCCCAAAGTTATTCCATCTCTTACTTGCCTCTAGCATTTTACACAAATACAGCCTATTATCATATCAGCCAAGACTGTCAAAAGGAAGAAAGAATATTTTTTGACACTTTGAAAACACTCCCAGGCTACAGAATATTTCTGCAGGCACACAGTATTCACAGTGCTCTTATATCCCAAACAAATACTATTTTTTTTTTGGCTAGTGCAAAAGAAACAAGAGTAAAAATCTAAAATCAGAGCTTACCAGAAAAACAAACCAATCTTTGTGTCTCCTTCAAAGACAAGAACTCCTGTAGGTGTTAGTCCCAGGCTGTAATCATTGCCGTCTCTTGCCTAATTGCCACAAAATAAAGATTATGTTCACTGTGGTGTTTGACCCTTTATCCAAATTACTCCATTGATTAATGTAGCCGATTTCCCCAGTGGTACAATTTAACACATATCTGCTTATTTTATACAACAAAACTCTCATTTTCAATGATCTAATGCAATGGATTTTTCCAGTTTACAACCCTTTAATAAGGCCGACTGAAGTGGAAAACTAAGGTTTTCTTGATTTGTGTGCGTAATAAGGACCTCCTTGTGGAGTTCTCTACACTTCCTTCTCCACAGGAGATCTATTTTGACTTGTAGTTTTTCAGCTGGTAGCTGACTGGACCCCAGCCAATTTTAATTTAATTACTACGATTTTCACATAGCTCTTAGTCTAAATACAAACCATAGTGCATATTGACACACCACTCACATATTTAAACACAGAGCAGATATGTTTGGACTAAAGTTATACCTTCTAGAAATGTATACTATAAAGTGGAATGTTGATGAAAAGCCAGATCAGTTGTTACACAGTTTAGATTAGTACAATATTCCTCCTCTCCCCCACGCCCTTCAAAGCAAAAACAGTGTTGAAAACTGGGACAAAGCTAACATTATCATCTCTAAAGGTCACCGTGCTGTGGTTAAACATACCTTGACTATGTGCATGTCTACACCATACATTTCCAGCCACTTAGCTTTGTTTAAGTAGTTAGTTTCAGCCTGTGCTGGTGTTTGCCCCCTGAAATAAACGTTTTGCTGTTAGGTAGAAAAAAACATGGTTTTTGCCTGAAAAAGCACACAAAGGAAGAACTGGCACATGAGGGAAGAAGAAAAGAAATTCCTGAGAGTTTGTGGAAAAACCTAAACACTGCTGACACTTCTTCACTTTCATGAACTTCAAGGTCACTTTTTGTAAGTTTTGATCTGAAACTGCTGCTGCAAAAGTTACTGCATTTCAAGATGCTGCAATCTCATTATTTTACTCAGACCTTTGGAAAGCTTCATTTTCCACATTAAATAGTTTGACAAAATAGAACAGAACCATATTAGAATTATGTTTCTGAACAAGACCACAGAAGTGTCAGCAGCATTTTACTACATTCTCTTCACAGACAAATCAGTGGAAGCAGCTGGCTAGCGTGCACTGGAAGATCTAGTACCTGCACTCCTTCCACTTCTCAAAAATGGCCAGTTCCATCTCTTCAGTCTGAGTGGGAACAAACCTGAACTCAGACACCAGCTCAGGGACGTGTTCGACAGGATCATAGTCTCCAAGTTCAGCTACAAAAGAACAGCATTGTCAAGTAACATTGTTCTCACACACAGTGGATATTAACAGGAACTTGATACATTTGTTACCAAGCTTCCTATAAATGGAAGCTAACATCCTTGATAATTGCATTTTTTCTTGCAGGAAGTTTACAACATTTTTATCACTGAAGTCTCTACTGTGACAACAGCTAAAGTTACAATGGAATTTTGCCCTAAATGATTAAAACAAAATCTCTGGAGATTTGTAAAAAGGAAAGCCAGTTCTGACCATTTTCATGAAACTATTTGTCCATTTTAAAAATCAGTTTCTGGTTTGATGACTATAAATCCCCCTGTCCTGCTAAAATTGCTGTGTGTCAGGGCACAATCATCCAGCTGTTATTTGGCTCCCCCTTTCATCTGAGAAGAATAAAAACCCTAGTGGTCAAATGGCTCACCTAGTCCACGGCTGCACGCTCAACAGGGGCAATAAGAGATGCTCTTTAGAGAGCATACTGGAACATACTGGTCCTACGGGTGTGCCACAGCACAAACACAACTTCCTTTTCCCAAAGATGCTCTACAAGCCCAGCTTTTAGAGACTGATGTATGCCTAAAATGCTGAAACTCACAACTAGAAACTTCTATTATAATGTCCTGACTTTCACAGTCACCAAGCATTTGCTCCTCCATCTAATTTCAAGTGGCTTCTTAATGTTCAGCTCATATGCAAAAAATACAGAATAATTCTATAACTTGAACCTTGAGTGTCTGATACAGGCCAATAACTATTGTCTGAAAAAAGAAACTACAGGTGTTTATGTAGGAAAAAGTAGTGACATCTTTGGGAAGACCTGGAAAAGTGAAACCGATACACACAGTATTCTCTAGGTACAAAACCTACAAAGGATCTAAAAACCTGTTTCTTGGGATTCTGAACGCTGCAAGCATAATAATAGTCTGTTCACCTCCTACTCTTTTTTCTTTCCCTTTTTTTTTTTTAAATGCTGACTGAGGAAGTCTGTAGTTTTATAATAATTTACTCCCACTAAAACGCCTGCCTCTGTTGAAAGGAATGCTGTCAAAGCCCGCTTAGGTTCCAGCTGATTTAAATAAAAGTACACAGCTGTCAGACAGTAAGATTAAAGCCCTGCTACAGGCCTCATTGTGGAGAGAGGAAAGAAAGGACCAGCACAAAAAGCAGAGGATATATAGCCTAATTAGATCACTTTGTTTTTCCAGAAACTTACCCACTGAACACATATCTTAAGGCTCTAACAATGCTAATATTTTTAACTGTGGAATGTATTCTAACTGTTTTCCTCCCACACAAAAGAGCAGCTTAAAAAGGCAAGTACCTTTATAGTTTAATCCCAACTCTCTACATCTACACATCACCAGGGCCATCAGTAGTTCCTGCCTGAAGACCAAAATGTATTTTGAAAAATATCTGTAAAAGAATTTCAGTGACTTAGTCCTGTTACCTAACTCCTACAAAGTAAGAACACCACCACATTGATTGATAAGACAGATGTTGTGTAGAGAATTTGTGCAGCACAAGTGCATGGTACATCTCCAAATGCCCTCTTCATCAAAGAGGACTGTACAACAGCTTTACAGCAGAAGTTCTGGGATTTTTTTGTAGAGTTGAACTGGGTTAAATGAGGCCACATAGCTTTATCCTCCGAAAAGGACCCAGAAGCCTACTCTAGCAGACATTTCTAGAACTTCAAGCCTTTCCTCCTCCTTCTGGGAGTTCCCTTGCTTAAAACCACAGCAAACTTCACATTTGTTAAGATCACACCCTCATTCAAACAACAGAAGACGTCAGCCATGAAGCTGAGAAAAAAAGTAGTATGTCAATTCTTTTGGTTGAAAAAGGATCTGAAACAGCAACAAGTGCAGTTCAACCATAAATGCTCAAGTACGACCATGAGACACGGAGCACTAACATGTTCCTACAAATAAGCTGAAGGCAAAAGCTGGGTGGCTTTTATACACAGGATTTTTCAATTGAGTGCAGAACCAAAGTAATTTTGTATCTGATTTGTACAGTGAAGAAAACACATGGCAGACACTGTGTGGTGAAAACAAGTGACCTGTGTTACTACATCAAAGCAATTCCGGGAGACTGCAGATCCTGTGTGAAAGTGGACAGGTTTGCACAGTGGCACCTGAGAAAACAAGTTCAGGGCAAAGCTGTTTACGTTCAGAACCTCATTGCTCAGTTTCCTGAGGAATCAAGTAATTTTCTACATAACGCTTTCAGCAAAATTACAGTCAGAAAGAGTTGTGTTTCACACCGGATCACTGATGTCTGGGCAGAACCTATTTTCTGGACAAACTAAAGGACAAACTAAAAGATGTAACAAAAGCCTACACAAAGCTGTTCACGCAACTTCATCCTTCCCCACCTGCTCACCTTGCATGTTATAAGCTGCCAACTGGACGGCTGTGTCAAAAGGACATTCCAGTCTGCCAGAAGAGAAACACCTTGTTAAAACTTAGCTGACACTACTTAGGAGACAGCTCATATACCCAACAGTGAGAAACCACAAATGTTAGCGATAAGAAGTGTAAAGGACTAGTAGATTTTCAGCATATTAACAAGAGATAAGCACTATGTTATTTAAGCATTCCTCTGCTGCCACTCATGCATAAAAAAGTAGTATTTTAGAGAAAAAAATAACATTACGTCACATAGTGAAACTTATTATCCAAACATAAGTTTAATAAATCCTGCGCTAAACACACTGTGATTGTTTAAAAGACTGTTTATTGGGAATACTTACTTTCCACTAAGAATATCCAGTTTCAGCTGCAGAACAAATAAATACCTGTAGGATTAAATAAGAAAGAAAAGTCATTGATTAATAACTCTAATGCGTCACTCAGACAAGAGGAAGAAGTTAGAGCCTGACAACCAAAAACATTTTCTGCTTTTTACATGGGTCTTCAAGACGAAGAAACTGCACTTTGATCTATGAAGGCTTTATCAGCTGGGTTTGTGTGCTGTGCACACATTTCAAATGGGTAAACCCCAAACTGGAAGTTGGCACAATTTGAACTACTCTGCTGCAAGGAAAAAGAAACAGGATACCTAAGTCTCATTTATTCTCTTCTGATCCTACTTGGGCAAAGAACAACTTGCATCTTCTGCATTTTATTCATTATTTGTAGACATACTGATATCATAAGACAATGAATATTTTGAAGTCCCTCAAAAATTAATGTTCCTAATACGGATTGCTTAGTTAAAATCTAACCCAGAAAGCTGACTGCAAAGTGACAAAGAAATGAACAGGAGCCTGCAGCCTTTTCAACTTGTTTACTCTTCAGAGCCAGCTTTCCTTCACTGCCTTGCTTACTCAGTTCTCTTCGTGCTTAGAAATTGGGCAAATATTTAACACAAAGCTCCTATCTCTTTGACACACAACAATCAATCCTTCCTTTCCAATACCCACAAAGAGCAGCCCTCTTGCTCCATTACAGTACACAGCTTTCCTTTAACAAGAAACAAAGTCATCTCATCAACTAAAACACTGGCATCTGTGAGGGCATCCAGTTCAAATCCTACTACAGATGAAAAGAAACCTTATACACAAAGCCAAAGATGATGCTTCTGTTTTAACATGTGCCTATGTCTCCTCATACTTGTGTACATGGACACAAAGCAGATGCAGGCATTTGTCCCACAGGTCCCTCGGAAATCCACAAATACTTTGCCAAACCATTTATTATCTTTTGAACACTGGCCCCTACATGGGGAATAAATTTGCTTGGTACTGACCCTAGATATCAAAAGAATGAGCACAGGCCTCCAGTGTATAGTGGGTGTGACCGGCCCCTGCTTATCAGCCACACACCACTTGCAAAGAATTCAAGCATACTTCCCGTGCTCAGGCTGTGTTATGTGACCTCTGACTGGTGGCATCTGATGGGAAACTGGCCGAAAATGTGAGCAAGCTGCACCTGTGGAAGCTGGAAAGAGGCTTCACCCGGTGTTCCTGCTGCACAAAGAAAAGGTGGAACCTCAGAAAGCCCCTGCCAGTGATGCCTATAAGCCACAGCAGAGCTCCCCTTCCCACTGCTTCCTTAAGGCATAAAATTGTCTCAAGACAGGAGAAAGACTTGCTGCTCTCCTGTCCTGGGGGATTAGCTAAGCAGACAGACAGGGTTTATAAGCCCTCAGGTTTCGGGTCTGCCATGCTAAAACCTGTATAGCAAGGTCTGACTGGCAGAACTCAGGATGGATGAAAATGGTTCATCCTGGTAGATACAGAGGTAGGCCTGAATTTTGCTTATGGTTACTGTTTTTAAAGACAGTTAAATATTTATTCAGAAACATGAATGGGGAGGCAAAAGATTCTTCCCAGATGGGCAGGAAAGCATTAAGGGAGAGCAGGTATAACACGTTAACACATATAAGTATGAAGCTGCACAGGGTACATATGGCTGGAAGGAGTAATGCTACTGTAATCTTCCTGGTAGCACTCCCAGGGATTTGGCTGAAGTGCAGATCGAAGATCCACACAGACATAAACCTGAACAACAAACAAATGCACTTCACCCTCCTACAAACGGATGAGGGTATGAAGCATCTACAGCTATCAAGAAAACATCCTTTGCTTTCTCTCCAAAGCATGCCATCAGCAGAGGTGACAACGCAAAGAAACGTTGCCTTTTACAAGAGATTTATACTACTTGACAGATGGTAGGTTTTGTTCTCTTTTAAAGCACCCCAAGTATGTCTCAGTCCAACATGAAACTGTTGCCTTTTACAAGAGATTTATACTACTGACAGATGGTAGGTTTTGTTCTCTGTCAAAGAACCCCAAGTATGTCTCAGTCCAACATGAAACGCCTTTATTTTCTCTCCAAAACGTGCCATCAGCAGAGGTGACAACGCAAAGAAACGTTGCCTTTTACAAGAGATTTATACTACTTGACAGATGGTAGGTTTTGTTCTCTTTTAAAGCACCCCAAGTATGTCTCAGTCCAACATGAAACGCAGCATTATGAGCGGATTTGTGAAATGCTTTAATCAAGAAAAACTGCTGCTCACCTGATACTACAATCCTACACATACAGTACTGTCAACTCCCAGCTCTAAATACTATTTTCCCGCTGCATAAGCTCCACAAAGACCACAGAAAGAATGACATGTTCACTGAACTTATTCTCTGCATAAGCTCCACAAAGACTGCAGAAAGAATGACATGTTCACTGAACTTATTTTTGCCAAAAAGAAGTTCTAGCTTGCAACTGAACGGTTTTCTGCCTAAAGAGACTGCACACAGTTGAAAATAAATGCAGCTTGAGAAGTTCTAGCTTGCAACTGAATGGTTTTCTGCCTAAAGAGACAGGATGACTGCACACAGTTGAAAATAAATGCAGCTTAAGAAGAATAAAGAAAGAGGAACGATGTCTGTTCTTTTAAAAAAAAAAACCTCTGTCCATTGTGTATAAGTGACTCAGATCAGTTGCCGGAATTGCCTTATGAAAAACGGTGTGTCAAGTAATATAGAAAATATATAGATCTCTATAAAAGAGCTCATTTGAAAAGAATAAAAAAAGAGGAATGATGTGTGTTCTCTTCAGAAAAAACCTCTGTCCGTTGTATATAAGTGACTCAGATCAGTTGCCAGAATTGCCTAATGAAAAATGGCGTGTCAAGTAATATAGAAATTATATAGATCTCTATAAAAGAGCTCATTTGATTCATGAGAGCTACATTAGAAACATTGACAAACAGCCAAGTAAGCAAGCAGCTCTAAGGAATCCCCCAAAACACCACGCAACTGTTTAAATAAAGACCATAAAAACATCTTCCTGGCCTTATCTGGAGATCTCAATCGTCACACAAAATCCCTCTTACCTTGTCAGCTCTTCACGTAGATTGTTGGGCTCTGATGAGTAAAACTTTACACGAAAATGCAGACAATATGGTGGGCCAACTGCAAAGTAGAATTCATTCAAGACAACAGCAACAGTTACTGGATGAGACTTTTTTTATTACACAGAATCACATCACAAAACTTGACTGAAATTGTCTCTATCCTACTACAAGGACTTCCCCTTTGTGACTGGGAACGGCATGAAAAACATCAGGGTGAAAGGACACAAATATACACACAAAATAGTTTTATATGTTACAACTCAATCCACCAGTCATATCACAATAAGTTGATTTGTCTGGCCAAGAGCACACAAATCTAAGTTAATTCCTATATTTAAGGACTCTACCCATCACCAAGAAAGCTGTGCATCTTGCCTCTGCAGTTGACAAAACTCCCAAACAGTCTTCTGTTGCTCTCTGTAATGCATTTCCAGGGCTCTGGGCCATACCCACTGCTGACAACTCAGACCCCTTAAATTCCACAGAAGTTTAGACATATTTTAGGGGGATTTACCAGACCCTTCTGTGGAAGAATCATCTTTTCTGGAAGCCAAAGAGTTAATTCAGCAAAAGGATGGATTAACAGTTCTTTAAAAATGTGCAGCGCTCTGCTGATTCTTGCATCTGACAGGAGGAATTTTCTCTCTCTCAGTGCTTCCAAAACCTCTGTTGTATTAACACAGCACCACAAATCCCTGAAGACTTCCCACGGCAGAGAGCAAGGAAGCTACTGAACAAAAATTGGCTGGTGTCACAGCTTACCCACGGATGCACCCCTGAAACAACCAGGCCACACTAAACCCTCTGGGTGGTCCAAACCAAGGGTTTGGACCACCAAGTCCAGGTAAGGACTTGGTGGTCCAAACACAGATTTGGGCAATCAGGACTGCCCCAAGGGAAGGAGCATCCAAGACCAGTTTTTCTATAGTCAGGATAACAACCTATAACACTAAAGCATCTTCAGCTGCCTTGACTCCATTTAAACGATAATTAATGAGCCTCTAACATGTTTAATTAAGGACATTAGGCTAAAGTAATATGAGCTACAGAGGGAAGAGTTAATTAAACAATCAGCAGCACCATGCCAGGTTTTTGTCACCAGGTCTTGTCACCCCTTCCGGGACACTGTCCCCCACTGCCCCCCCCATTTCAATTCTGTGCCTCCTGCATGTTCGATACAAGATCCCAAGAGAAAAGAGAAAAGACACTTACTTTTAACTTGTTTTTTAATGCTTTTTGTGTTGTCCAGCCAATGCTGAAAAATAAATTACTTCCATTAAATTATCAATAAAGAAATCTCACAGAAAGAACAAAAAAAGGAAAAAAAACCCCACCCTATTCATTAGTGAAGACCATCTTGGAATAACAAGTAGTTCGTTAAAACAATCTAATCCAAAGCTCTTACATTTCACAGCTCTCGGTGCTCACTGAAGAGCCTTTCACTCAAAGTTTGTAATGCAAAAATGTCAGTTTTGAACAACAGAAACATTCTGTAGTGCCTTATTTAAAGACAGTCTTCAAAAAAGCTTTATCTACTTTAAAAAACCCAAACGTACTGACAAACCACTTCAATTACTAAAATTTTCATCCTGTCCAAACAAACAAATACTTAATTCACACATTAGTAGGTCAGCCTGTGACAACAAGCCAGAGAGGCACAAATCATCACTGGAGACTCTGGCGCTCAGCTGTTTGTGATGTTTACTTGGGGTGGAGGGGAGAGACAAAATAAATATTGTTGGCTTCCAGGCATTTTATTGAGATGACTCAGGCGTAGGAACAGCAACGCTGTCTATGTCTGAACATAAGGGTCAGCTCTACCTAATTCTCCAAAATCTATTCACAGGTGACATTTTGGCAACTGTCACATGGAAGGACAGAAGTTAGTAGCACTAATTACAAGCTATATACTAGACATGAAGCCAAAATAATGGCTCCACTTATACCACGTACAACAGCACGTGAAAAATAAGCTATAGATGGCAGGCTGAGAGAAACACCTAAACATATACACAACGCTTCCTAAAAATAATTGCCTATACTCCTGCTGCTGAAGAGTTTATACTCGAAATTAAAGACAAAGCTGTAAAGCTAACATGCAGGTAGCGGTAGAGACCTACTTCCAAGCGCCGCGCAGGGCGACCAGATCCCTCCTCCAGAGGAGGTGGTGACTCAGTTCAACAGTAAACACGGCGCCCTATTCAACGTAATTGCATTGACTCAACAGCCAGAGCAAACTACCAAGCACGCCGTGTCCTGCGTGGTTCACAACACCCAGGTAACACCACCTCACTCCATCAATCCCAAATGTCACCTCGCAACTAACACAGATAAATTATATCCTTAGCAACACTCCTTTCGTTAAACTACCTGCCACAAAGTTCACAGTGGGCCCCACAGGAGGCAGAAAAGCAAGAGGGGTATGAGAAAGAACCGGTATTTTCAGGTTGCAATGCCAAGTGCAAATACATTCCTGTCTTCAGAGCAGCCCTGCCTTCTGCAGAGAGTATGTGAAGTCAGCCTCTAACACAGCCAGGACACGCAGTGATTGATCTATCAGCTGTAGATCACAACAACCAAACCATCTACTGCTGCTGTGCACACAGCTGAAAACGCTGTCATTACCTGCTGAAACAAAGTAGCTACAGAAAGCTATTTGAAATGTTTCTAATATATATTTTTAAAATAAGGCAGGAAGCTTAAGGAAGAATGAAGCAAATATTTTTGTCAACTTTGATTACACTACCAGCGAAATTTTTTTTTTCTTCTTTAAGAAAATTATATAATCTCTCTTCCTATTCCATAAAATCACTTGCTGGAAGAGACAATTTACTTAATCCTTTCTCCACCATAAAAATATATAAACTACCTACTTGGAGGCTGGCAGGTGATTTAAACACAGGAATGGCAAAGAGAGCCATTTCTAGACTCCAGGACTGGCTGTGCGCGCCTGTTTCATCTCCCTCCTGTTTTCTCTCATCTCCTCCACATTCCACGGGAAGGCAACCGAGAGGCCCCGCAGCAGGCACTGATAGTGTTCTCACTCTGCTCAGCTCTCCCCACCGCTGCCTGCAGGAGCTGCCTCTGAATGGTGAGGGTGTGTGTGGAAGCAGGGAAACAGAACTGCTTTTAAATGGAGAGGGGGGTAAAAAAAAACAAACAACCCCCAAAAAAGCCCCGGAACCAACACGTGCATGGACACAGACAGACATCAGGAAACTTAAGATATAGTCCAAGTGATTAAAATGGAATTCAAGTGGACCTGGCAAGAAGTTTACATTTTGATGAGAGTTTGCTCAGCACAGTCTACTGCTGAAATCCAGAGATAAAGTTTGCTAAACAAAAAGCAACACGAAGAACAGACTGCATGAAGAACTGGAAGTCCTTTCTAAAACAGTTTGCTGCTTCAGAAATTAAATAAAAAAATACAAACCAAACCACAAAACCACCCCAACAAAACCGCAGCAACATTTCAAGAAGGTAAACAAGGTGGTTTTATTAGGACAGTGAGGCTAAAACTGACCCCACACTATGGAATTAAATGGTGCATACTTAGTGCAATGCTATACAAATAATTTTCAGCATCAAGCACTACATCAGATAAAACTACCAGAGTAACAAACCTTTAGGAAAGTATTTGGTGTTTGCAATCTGTTAGAATTAGATATTTGCCACATGTTAAGCATTCAATGCCTCCTTACTAGAGACACATCTCCAGCATTGCTAGAGGGAAAGCCAAAAAGCCCAACAAGCAAACAGCTATCTTTACCTTTTGTGTCACTGGACAAGCTGTGCTGTTCATTGTCAGCCTGAATCAAAGTTACTCAAATTAACAATAGCCTGTTCCCTTGGCTGCAAGGCCAAGCCTGATACACTGCGGACAATCTTGCAAGTAACTCATTTTGCCATCTCCTGCCCCTTACTTTGGGGGAGTCGGGGGGGCAGAGAAATCTATTCCTAGCAACGAACACAGAAATCACAAAAAAACAACAATTCTTCCACTTCACAGATTGTTTCAATAATTTCTTTAGAGAAGCCAGCACTTGAATCCTAAAATCCGAAACGTCAGAAAGAGCTTGTATTACCTGCGGAGCCCCACTGCCCAGCGTATCATACCAATTGTTTCAGCAGCTCAGAAGAAGAAAAAAAGCTACCCTTCAGTTGTACAAAATTAATCTATTGAAAACTCATTTGTAATTAAAACAAGTGGGGAATTTATCAATTTTTTTTTATTTATGTATATGTTGCTAGTTAGCCAGTTTTTCCTATCATCAGGTGCTAGTAAGGCAATATACTTAGATTCAAACTGGGTAGTGGAAAGATTCTCTCTTTCCAAGCCAGCGTATAATTCTGCCCACAGTAAGGGACTGGATTCTAACCCTGTTTAAATAAACAGGTCTCCTGAATAATCTTTGTCAAGTCACTTGATTAGTCTCTGTCTTTGTTTCCAGCTGCAGATTGTGTTTCTGCTAGGATGTGCCAGATCCCCTTTGCAAGAAGGGGCTGCCATCACAACAGTTCTTCAGTTCTTAAAGCAATTATCTCTGGCTGTTATGTTCAGCTCTTGTGGCAAAACGCAATCCTTTCTTCTCCTTCATAGAGAGTGCATCATTAAAGTCCAGTTTAAACAGATCGTTATCTCTGCTCTGCCTCTTTTCAGTCACACGTAGTTAAGAAAAGGAAGCAAACTAAGTTTGACATCGTAATGGCTTGTACCTGGTAGATTGTTCAGTATCAAATAATCAGGTGCAGCCTGGACTGGAAGTAACTATTTGCTGGACAAAAGCAAGCCATGAGCCCTTGCTGAGGCATAAAACATTAACTCTTATTTCCCTATTTCAAGATGAAATAACATCATTTGCTAACAGAACAGTAAGAGAAAAAAAGTTTACCATATAGATAGTTTCACCAGTTATAACTAATTCACTGTGAACTCCTGTGAGATCCTAGAGGGACATGGACATATTTCAGAAGCCACATGGCAGAAATTGAGTTAGGATACCTCAAACATATAGATTTATTTTTCTTGAAGCAAAAAATAAATGCAATGGAGTCATTCAATACTCAACATCCTAGAGTGCACATACTTAACACAGCAAACATGACATTTATAAATATAAAAAATGGTATGCAAAGGGCTGTTTTCTAATTTCTGTTGGTAGGAGGTACGCGTGGTTCCGAATGACATTCCTCCATTCGTCTAACAGTCTTTTCCTCCTTATCATTAAATATCTCTGCATTCTTGAATTCTGCAGATTCAAGCTTGGGGAGTTTTTTGCTGTACAAAGCTGTAACAATTAAGATGTGACCTTCAAATTGTTCTGGACACAGGCCCTCACAGAATTAAAGGAATATATGTCATTGCCTCCATTTTGTATACTGACCTCAAACAATTCAGGTATTTCAACTCAGCAGCAACTGCCTGTGCCTCCACCCTGCCATCCTAACCGTGAAATAATTCTGAAGTGGACTTGAGACACAGAAACAATTAGGTCACACACCTAACAAATAACACTGACATACACAGTATGAAAACTTGGATCTCGTTCTACCTGGGGGTGCTGGGATATGTGAATACAGATTTAAATTGCAGGGATGCAGGACAGAGACAAAAAATCCACTCCTTGTCTAACACCTCACTTAACTTGCTGCTATCCTTGTGGGCAGGATTAAGCTGGCCATAAGAAACATCTATATAAAACTGCAAAGCCCACAAATGAAAAAAACGTGGTTGCTTCCAACAAACAATGCCCTGCTTCTGTTTTCAAAAGCAGTCACATTTTTACAAATACACAACAAACCTGCAAACAAACTCAGGCTTGCAAGAACCTTCTACTCAAACTGTCTGGTTCATAGAAACACAGCTACATCCTCCCAAAAATTTCTAGTTACAGGTCTGAGTCACAACCAATTTGAGCAAATCAAAGGTAGAACCCTCTTGCCAAGATTATTTCCCAAGCAGACATTAACAAGATGACTTCTGCTGACAAGAAAAATGATGGCTTTGGCAAAAGAAAACTTTCTCCACTCTGCCAAACAAAGGGCCAAGCCCACACTCTAGCTTTGACCCCTCCTCTCTGCATCGGCAGCGTCAAGAATTTCTACATGATGCACCAGGCTCTGGGGTCCTACTGGAGCAGCCTCCCTAATGACAGCAGAAGGTGTGACAGGAACAAGTGAAAGACAAGAAAAGAAGAGACAACATCACTGCAATGTGTCAAGAGTGCTTAAGGTGAAATTAAACTTGGGGTCACAAACTAACACACCACAGAGCTTCTGCACAGCACTTAACTCAAAAAAGGCAGCTTTCTTATAGCATTTTTGTCAATATTAGAATGTAACTTTCAGACTATTGCTTGGAAACAAAGGGGGAAAAAAAAGAGCACTGCTACTTACCGCCACTTGTGCGGAATCCATAAACCTTAATCCAAAGTAGTCGCTTTCTATAAGGTCCAGATGATACATGATCTGTTCAAACAGGAGCTGGCCTTTGGCTTTTTTCTGGAAATATAAAACAATTTAGTACTTGGCAGGTAGATTCATTGCAGCATCTACATTCTTCTAGGCATACTTTATATTGTAATTCCAAAACCAAGAGAATCCCAGAATTAAGCTTCTGAAAATATAATGTGGAAATTATTTTTTTCCTCATGTTTTTGATGGCTGTTTTTCTGAAAGTCAAATGCACACCCCACAAGAAGGACAGATAATATCCTTAAAGGACTCCCATAATCTCCATTTTTGGAAAATGTCAACACTGACCTGCACAAGACTGAGAGCGTTAAAATATCATTTTATCATTGTCCCTTTTAGGCTTTCCTTAAAGTTCAACAGAACTGCAAATACAGCTAGAACAATTGCAATGACTAGTGCACTGGAAAATTTTAAGCGCAAAGTACAGTAAATTGCTTAAGAATTTACTACTGCTTGATGTCCAGGCAATTCACCAGTTCTGAAGCAGGTAGCAAAGCAAATTGAATTAGGATATAGCATTCCATTCGCAACTGCTTTTAACAACTGACAGGAAATAGTCTGGGGCAAGAAACTTTAACAAATAGTACTTAGATAATGCATTTACAAAAGTAAGTTCGTAAAACTCAGTTGTAGGTGCAAAAAGCCACTGCATATGCTCATACATAATTTATGAAAAAGCTTAAGCTTTAGCCCAAGTAAACATCATTTTTACAGAGATGATCTAAAAAATTAAACAGTTGTTTTTAGAGAGAAGGCATGTAAAATGGCACTGGGCAGTTTCCACACATCATACATTTTTCATGCTATGAACTCCTTTATAGTAATCCACTGGAAAAAAAAGCTTAGCAGTAATACCTGAGATGCCTAAATGTACTGAAATACATTAATAAATTAGCAGGGCAGAATACAAGACACAATGTTGAAAAGAAGTACTTTTAAATGCAAAGAAATGCAGGAAGGATTTATGCTTACTCTGCCAGCAATTTAAGGATTTCTCTATTTCCATAATGCTATCATCTTGCAATCTTTTATTTTAATAGTTATACATTCACAACCTGAGCAATGGGCTAACTTTCTAAGCATAGTTTATAGTAAGCTACTAATTAGCAGATTTAGTCCACCCCTCAAACCTTTGGGCCAGACAGGATTTCTATTCTCAGAAATAATCTAATTTAGCCACAGAGTCATATCCATGTAAGAAAAGCAGCGTGAATAACTTTTGGCAGCTGCTTCTACCCTGATCTTCAAATATTTTATATTCAACTTCGCAGTCGTAATCACTGGTTTACTCTATGCTTTAGTTAAATCCAACAGGACATTTCACAGACCAAAGTAAAATCTCAGAAAAGTCTGTGAACTGAGTCTGCCTAAGCAAGCTCTCCTACAGGTATTTATGTCCAAGCACTGTGGAGGCAGGGGGAATGGAAGGTAATTAGACCAGCAGGCAACTTCATGTGCACACAGCACCTACAAAACATTGTATAATGAAAACACCAAGATGTAGACCTCATCAAACTCCTTCAGGGCAACTTTCTTTTGTTGACTTCAAGAAAAAGCATTTCTCAGGAAATAGCAGATTTATTAAACACCAGCAACACTCTCCTAAGAAAAAACCCAAGGCAATCACCTACATATAAAACCACACATTTCTGTTTGAGTCTATAGCCTCTTTCTTCAAATAGCAAGATACTGAACTCTGAATGTTTTCTCTCGGCACAGGATATCATAGAATCATAGGATGGTTAGAGTTGGAAGGGTCCTTAAAGATCATCTAGTTCCAAACCTCCTGCCATGGGCACTAGACCGGGTTGCTCAAAGCCCCATCCAGCCTGGCCCTGAACACCTCCAGGGATGGGGCATCCTCAACTTCCCTGGGACACGTGTTCCAGTGACTCACCACTCTCCCAGTAAAGAATTTCTTTCTAGTACCTAATCTAAATCTCCCCTCTTCCAGTTTAAAACCATTACCCCTTGTCCTATCACCACAGTCCCCGACACAGTTCCTTCTCCAGCTCTCCTGTAGGCCTCCTTTAGGTATTAGAAGGCCGTTATAAGGTGTCCCCAGAACCTTCTCTTCTCCGTTATAATGTGTCCCCAGAAACTTCTCTTCTCCTGCCTGAACACCCCCAACTGATATCTGCTGGCAATATAACACAGCAGAGAGACAACAGTCATGGAGATTCTTGGAATGCGTGGAAGACAACTTCCTAACGCAACTGGTGAGGGAACCGACCAGGGAAAGTGCCCTACTGGACCTGCTGATAGTTAACTCGGAAGGTCTTGTGGGGCTATGCTTCTTCTGCTTAAACAGTAAGATATACTAATACAAGTGAAATCAATTTAGCGTTTGCAACAGCAAAACAGGAAAAATGTTTTATTTTGCATGAAGCTTTTTGGACCTGGTCTACAGCAACAGGAACATCCCCCCTTTTTTGACAGAACATTTTACATCCTTCCAAATTCCCCAGTAAGTCATCTCTTAAAACTGTAATTAACCAGTTATCTCAGTCAAATTCCCTCCCAGGGATGAGCAGTGGAGCACATCAACTGGAGCCTGGAATTACTACACGTACTATGTCAGACTACCAACAACCAAAACTTACTATTGTTCAAAATTCTGCAGCATCAAATTAGTTTTGGAGCACATTCAAATCTCAAAGAACTCAAAGACCAAGTGGACCCAGAATGACTAATGTGGGAGAAAGGCCCTGAAGAACAGCACTGGAGCAGCTGTGGAAAGGTTTGCAGGGGCTTAAACAGTAAGATATACTAACACAGGTGAAATCAATTCAGCGTTTGCAACAGCAAAACAAGAAAGATGTTTTATTTTGTATGAAGCTTTGGTCTATAGCAACAGGAACATCCCCCCTTTTTTGACAGAACATTTTACATCCTTCCAAATTCCCCAGTAAGTCATCTCTTAAAACTGTAATTAACCAGTTATCTCAGTCAAATTCCCTCCCAGGGATGAGCAATGGAGCACTTCAACTGGAGCCTGGAATTACTACACGTACTATCTCAGACTACCAACAACCAAAACTTACTATTGTTCAAAATTCTGCAGCGTCAAATTAGTTTAGGAGCACATTCAAATCTCAAAGAACTCAAAGACCAAGTGGACCCAGAATGACTAATGTGGGAGAAAGGCCCTGAAGAACAGCACTGGAGCAGCTGTGGAAAGGTTTGCAGGGCTGCTGCTTGTTTTCTGACTTAAATCACCAAGGCTGTCAATGTGGAATTAATTATGCAATACTTTGCATATGACTTAAACCACCAGTTACTGCATTTGGTGTGAGTCAGCAAAAGTTTCACACCTGCTTTAATGTTAAGTTCAAATTCTTTCTTAAAGCCTTACTAAAGTCCTTAGTCCTTACATCAAAACAAACAGCTGCCAAAAAATTGCATTGCTTTGTAGCAGGTCAGTTTTTAGGAATCAAAGTTAATTTATCTGTACTCAATAAAACTTATCTCAAGGGTTTTCACAAGACATTCTATTACACTTGCTGGTGAGAAGTTAGCCCTAAATCTGTGGTGGCAACATTCAATTTAAATGACATTTCTATCCTGCTGCTACCCTGTGCTTTTATTTTCCCTTTGTCTTTTTTTTTTTTCCCCCTTTTTTACTTGCAGCAGAGCTCAGGTTACTCTCAAAGGACAAATATTTTCAAGCTGTTTAATGGTTACAGATGAACTATTAATGACTCCACTCACAAGCAGTCCAGCCAGTGGCTGGCCTTCCCTTCAGGGTACAAATTAAACTCCTCATGGGTTTGTAATTCTGTAAAACCTGACTACTTGGTTTATACAATTACCTATACTCTCTAGGAAGCAACAGCAAACATCTCACAGCAGGAGAATCAAGAACTGAACCGGGAAACTTAAATAAAATATATCACTTATACAGGGCAGGGCATCTAGTGGTTTTGCCACATTTTGGAATGAGATAAAAGCATCTTTTCATGGCTTTGGTATGAATCACGTCTCCCCTCTGCCCCCAAAATGGAAGGGATGCTCCCAACTATGCCCTAATGACATCTCACGCCACTCTTAATAACTGCAATTGCTGGCTGAGTGGGTGTTACAAAGGCTGGACTTAACCCCGGTAGCTCAGCAGCAAGAATGCGAAAAGCCAGATCCGGCAAGGAGCTCACCTCGGCAAGGCTGGCTCCATCCTCCAGGATAAGGAGACACAGAAACGCTCACCTTGGCCCCAGCATCTCAGTCACTGCCCAAAACTAGAGAGGCAGCCTTTATACCCTCTTCTCACGGTCTCAGAGGTAAAGGTTATTTCAAGGACAGGCAATTCAAGGACACAAACCAGCAACTGGGTGCTCCACGCCTCGCCTGCCTGGTGTAAAAGCCCTGGTCAGCTCCAGCAGCAGCCAGCACCGACCAGCGCTGGTGGAGCAACACAGGCTCACACCGCTGGGGATGCGGCCCCGGTGCTGGCCGGCTCACTTTGAAAGTTTTTTAATCACAGAAAAGTACTTCAAACTTCCAAAACTTGAACAACAACAAACAGACAGACAAACAACAAAAAAAAACCAACCCCAAAACCACACCACAAAGCCCACCTAATGAATTTACTAACTCAAACACTAGTCAGAAAAGGATTTTTCTCCTCTATCTCTTTTTATTGTGAAAAAAAGGAGGTCCCTATATAAGATGAGCTCCAAAAAAATGAGACGAATAGGCTTTTACCTTCATGGGACTTAACTGTCCCTTGTGCCTTTGCAGCTGTACTTTTGTGTCGGAAGATTTCTTCAAATGATGATGCTAATATTGCTTATCAACAATAATTAACAGTAGCTATTGCTTTCAGTAGCTACTAAAGGGCAAAAACCTCCCTCCCTTCCTGGTTTTTGTCAACTCACAGGAGGGTTACCATTCATATTCATACCAGTTTCCCCAGAAAGACCCCACGTACTCCCCAAAGAAGTTAGGGAAGTCAGGATTTACAGCTACCCAGCTACCAGAATGTCACCTATGCATGTTTGCAAACCATGGCAGCGCAGCAGCAGCAGATG